CTCTCTCTCTCTCTCTCTCTCTCTTCTCTCTCTCTCTCTCTCTCTCTCTCTCTCTCTCTCTCCTCTCTCTCTCTCCCCCTTCTCTCTCTTCCCCTCCATCCCTTCCCTCTCCTCTTCCTAATCGTACTCCTCTTGTTCATTTTCATTTCCCAAATCTCTTCTTTCTGTTATTATCTCTTCTCATATCTTCCCTCTCTTTCACTCATACCTTCTTCCACACTTTAAATTAACCCTAACATATTATTCTTCATTGTATTTCTAGGATCATCTCCTGCATTGTCTGCCGATTGCAGTTGCAAACTCATTACGATGCAGTTCTCCTATGAAGAAAATACAAGGCTTCTAGTGCAAAGGTCAAGCCGTTCACTCCAAAACCAGATCCTCCTCCCCGAAGTTTACTAAAGCAAAACATGAAAAAGAAGGTTGCTAAAAATATAAAAGCCACAACTAAGGTGGGTAACATGATTAATTATAGACATTGTCATTATTGCTTTTTTTTCTGTGGAATGCAAGGTAGAGTTTAGGGTCAGAAGTGTTGGAGTGTAGCAAATATGTTAATTTATGTTTATAAATATATTTTTTTCTCTTTCTTTGTTTTTTCCATCTGCAACTCCACTCCATCACCATGTAGACAAATGTATCTTCTTTATATTTAACTTAAAACCGTATGATGAAGACAAGAGGTGACCACATCAACTTTTGTTTTTATATTCTTCCCTTAAAAAGTGATCACAAATATATCATTTAGTGATGTCTGATTTCCCTGTTTGGGGGTATAACTTTGTATTTCAAGTGTAGGTAGTACTTTTCTTTGCAGTATTGGGCAATTTAGGATTGGCTTTCTTATAGAAAAATATGAATGATTATGAAAAAAATTTTGTTTTCATTTTAAATATCACAGGTTGAAGTACACAAGCTGATGGATCCAGAAATTAGCACCACAAAGAAGATAACTAAAAGGGAAGACCAGCCATTCATTCCAGATACACCAATTTCCATAACCAATCTTCCCCCAACACCAAAGTCTTCACGCAAAAGTCTTAGTGCTTCAGTTTCCAGAAGGTAGTTGTTTTCTGGTTTAGACTAGTAATTAGATGAGGGATACATAAATTGATTTATTCATTTATTTATATCTGTATATGTATATAACGCTGGAAAAATGTGTGTTGAATTAAATAAAGGTAGTATTGGTAATGTTAATATTTCTTTGCATGATATGTATAGAATCACACTTCAATATTAATTGTTTCAGGGCTGCCCTCCGTAGCACTGCTGAGATTGTGCCGTGCCCTTCCCTATCATCTCCAGAAACTCCACGAAGTAGTACACCAATTGATAAAGACGACAAGTTAGATGACCTCGCTGTAGACCCAACAATTACAACCATCAGCCAAGAAGAGGAGGAAGTATCTGAGGTAGATTCAGCTAAAGAAGAGGAAGTTTCTGAGACCGAAGAATCACCAGAAAAGACAAAACGAAGTTATTGTACTGTCATGTAATCAAACTTATTGCTTTGTTACAAATTTAAAAGCATACTACTGGGTAGTACGCTGCAGTGGAAATAATGTTGATGGCACTTCAGTTTTGCTTAAGTTTTTATAGATTCAAATATTCTATTTTTTTAATAACATATCTTTTCCACTTTGCATTTGTCTAAGACATTTATTCCAAGATTGAGAAATTCAAATTTCTCATTTATGAATGTGTTCTTGATCCATAGGCTTTGGTTTTATCATAAGCTTATATTTGATTTTTAGATATCTATCTCATGTTGATAGTTTTTGCATTATCGTTGTCTTCATATGTTACATTTTTAGTAGATAAATTTTCATACTTTGAATTTTTAGAAAAGTAGAGCCAACTGACATTTGTAGCCTAAGATTATACATTTATTAAAATGTACAAAGTGTGTTGCCTTCGAACATCTGTTATATATGATATAAGCAGGATGTCTGCGACAAATACTTTTGCGTATATTTGGAAATATGTCCGACATTATATTTAAACCTAAAATGTACCTGAAAATCAATTTATTTCTGTATTTGTAACTATATATAGCATTTATATACTGCTTGATCAGTAGTTTTGAATTATTGATATTCCATTGATAACAGTAGTTTGTAATGAAATAAATGTGTACATAGAAAAAAGAATTTTACAACCCTGAACTAATATACAAATTCAGTATTAGTATTATTCAAATTATCATGCAATTTTGACTGAGGCCTAATGTTTGGGATCTCCCCTAGCTTGGGCCTCAGCACACTGCTCAACTAATTCTGCAATCTTTTCTCTTTATCTCTTTCCAATTCTGGATCCTCCTTTTCCTGGCATTCCTCCTAAAACTGCTCTTTGAGATTTAATTGCCTTTAGACCTTCCATTTCCTTTTTGCTAATCCCAAATCACATATCCTCCATTTGATGTAGTCATTCTTTTGTTTATCCTTACCCTAACACATTTACTCCCTCTGTACCCTTTACAATACCATACTATCCTAAACTGACTTAAGACTTTTGATGTGTAGCACATTTAATCATCAAGTCACCCCTCTTTACACTTTTAAGAACTAAACCTTCCTTTAGTGCTACATGACCTTTGATGTCTAGCCCATTTATTTTGCTTTGTAACCACAAACAATTAACCATTCAAATCTCAGTGTATTTCTAGTATATTGATTATCCTGCTATTCAGTAATATATCAATGCAAGGTTTGAATCTAAAGCTGTCTCCACAAAATGAGCTAATTGTCATGAATACCTGCATGACTGGCAATAATTAAAACTGCCAGTAGGTGGTTGTGTGAAGTACAATCACAGTCTGGCAGTTTTCCTTAACCATGGACCTGTCAGTTACTTGATGCTGAGCTTTGCTGCTCCAGCTTGGTGTGCTTAAGAGAACCATCTGTTCATGTGAATTTACTTAACTGATAGAAATCTTGAAATTATGTATGTACATTTGGTTGTAGTCTGACTGGTGATCATATTAACACTATATTGCAAAACTGGAAAGCATATTCATCCAGACTACATTCACTCTCCATCTAAAGGAAACCACAATGTGTTTATGCTCATTCAGTACAGCCTCCAAGTGTTACATTATAAGTAATGAAAGCAAGTTTACTATTATTTATTGCCCAGAGCAAAAGACAAAGATATAACCTCATCTACAAAAAGTGTACTACACTAAACAATAAAAAATGTTGTAGGGTACCAAAAACCTACAGAAGCAATCTGTAAGGGAAAACAAACAGTTCATTCTAATGAATGTAATAAAATTCATAAATGGGGGTGAATAACTTTGCAATTCAAGAGGTACAACTACAGGTTATTTTTTTCTTTGATCTAAACTTAATCTAGTGGCTCAATTTGTACACATACTTGTATATTCTGTAGATTCATCAGTACTTATAAGACCAAAGATGATTATGTTTTAAAGAATAAAATATGCTAAGGCTTTTAAGAATTGGTATTCCTAACCTTAGTTAACACTTATGGAACTATTAATAAGTTCATAAGAAATTAACACAATATTTTTTTGCTTTACCATTTACCAGATACAGAGTTAGATTTCTCAAGAGGACACAGAAACCTAAAAATACCTACTACATAACATGAGAAAAGTGATTGGTTAGTGTTAAGGTAGAAAGTGAAAAAATATATATAAGAGTAAGGCTGCTTATGCCATTTTGCAAGGAAATTATAAGTATATAGAAGTGATGAAGAAATAAAAGGAGAGGGGAGGAAGAGAAAGTGGCAAGTACTAATACTAGACAGCAGACGCATCTAAAATCACCCCATTTGCACTCCCTCTTTAGAGATTAGGGTTAGGAAAGGGTTAAGGGCATATGGTGATTGGATGAAATGGAGTGTATCTGTGGCTGAGGAAGCTATGGGAACATTGTTTAAGGAAAACTGGCTAAAGAGCTATTAAGGAAAAAGGGTAGGTGGAACTTAAGGGGGAGGAGGTTGGATATTGGCAAATATTTTGAGTGTAGAGGGAATAGGAATAGAGGGATTGGAGAGTGGATAAAGGAGCAGATCATTCTCTTAGGTCATGTCTAGGAATTTTTGGATGTCTTCAAGAGTTTCTGGAGAGGAGTTGGGTTGGGAGGTCTGAGAAACAAAGGTTCTGTGAGAAGAGGGGATAGGCGTTCAAGGAGCAGAGGAAAAGGTGCGAGTACGAGAGGATGTGGTAAGCGAAGATAGCATGGAACATTTAGGTTGTTTGGTGCAACAGGTAAAGTGAGGAGAGCAGCTAGGCATTAGAGAAGTGGTAGAGATTGGAGTATGGTTGGACAGGGCTGGACACTCCACCAATATAAACTTTATGGGGGGAAGTCATGTCTACGGAAGCTAATCTTGGTAATATTGGTGTAAGACTTATGCTGTCCTCTGAGAGGAATGGTGTAGCACTGTATTGCCACTGCATCATAGTCAACATGGCAGGCAAGTAATTTTCAGTCAGACCAGTCTTTTTCATATATACAACAATCATTTGGGAGAGAGAAACAGCTCCGGTACAAGTATTAAGAGATGAGTGAGGTTCAGCAAGAATAGGTTTGGCAGTGAGGTCAGTCAGGGTAGATAGCACACATGCTTAGGACTCAGATGTAACTGTCACTAGGCACGAATGATCATAATGACTGCGAAAGGAAACTCTGCCTACTTGTTTTTGGAGACATTGTTGGAAGAGGATATTTTCAGAGTAAGGAACTGTAAGGAGAATCACAAAGAATCGATCCCACATAGTTGGGCCAAAGAGAGTACTCAAAAGGTTTGCAGAGGTGGAAGCAGTAGAAGGATGAGGGCAGGAGGATGTGGTGATGTGGTGATGTCTTCTGGGGAGGAAGACAATAAGGATGAAGAGTAGTAATGAGGGAGGAGGGGGTAGACAATGGAGAAGACTGTGTAGTAGGAGATGGAGTGGAAAATGGAGAATGTTGGGAGAGAGGAAGGGGTGCTTTCTGAAGGTTGAGTAATGACTTGTGTGGGTGGTTCAGAATGTATAGAGTGGATAGATAGAATTCCATGCCCATGGCTCCCAGGAGGCATTCATGACCAAACAAAGCCAGCCGTTCATGCCTTTCAGCATATCTCTCACATCTTAGGAAATGGACAGTAGGGGATAAAGAAGAGAAGGAAAAGGGGACAGGGAGGAGAAAAGGCCATGCAAAATTAGTTGAGGTGAGGGCTGAGGCTCAAGGTAGGGGTAATTTCAGTCTCCATCTTGGAAGTCCCTCCACAACAACAACAAGCAACGGTTTGGGGGGTAAAAATTCCTAAGTACCTGACCCTGCACATTAAATTTTTTTTCTCTATGATGATACCAGTTACAAATTATTTTTGTCAGTGTATCTCATTAATATCATCTATCCTAATTGACAATAGCCTTCTGATAGTCAGGAATGATAAAAAACATCATGGGTATTTCCTTGTAAAACATTAGACCTGTGGGAACTTAAAGACAGTGAAAAATTGGTCCAGTTGATTGCTGGAATAAGCCCTTTGAATCTATGCTAAAAATGCCAACTTCCAACAGCCAATAACCCTTTTAATCTTTTTTCAACTTTCACCTTGTCTCACAGGTTTATAGAGGATGAATAAAACCAACATTTTCAGTTAAGATTTATTACATATAGGCCTAAATGGGAAAACTATGTAACATAGGCAGTTATTCCAAATCACATTCCGTGGAAAAAAAATATACATCATTTATAAGAAATGCTAATAAGATATAATATTAAATTAGAGAAGCCTTTTATGCATATATATATATAGTAATATATATTTATATATATAATATATATATTATATATATCATATATATATATATATATATATATATATATATTATATGTATATATATATATATTATATATATATATATATATATATATATATATATATATATATTTATATATATATA